CAACACAGGTTTGATGTGTGCAGGTCCATTTATATGCAGAGTTTTTACAAAAAAATACCTTGGGAAATGTTTTGTAACTTTGCAGTAATTTGAAAGAACTTGCAGATTAACCATGCATCTTAGAAATACTTTTAAAAATTTAGGTATGTCATGAGTGCATAAAATACATGTAGATACTAGTCTATTTTATCACATACTATTGGAAAATGTACAAATATCTATTTTAAAAGGTTTATCAAATGTTGCACACACAAATACAGATATACATGACACCATTCACAATTGGGAGAAACACATGTAAAGGCACAGTATTAAACCATAAATGCATAAAGTTGGCTGTAGTACACACTCTACTACTACAATAATTTCATAGCCTCCTCCTGTTGCTATGGCAGTGAGCTCAAGTGTGGCGAGTATTCGCTTTAAACACCGTGTGATGTCACCTTTATGTAAACATAATCTCTCACAGTTCTTGTGTACTTTTTATGTTTAGTGCAATAACATAAACCTTTAATAACACCATGTGACCCATATAAAATGACACTAGTGATCCTGAGCGTAATCTCAAGAAGCAAAGTCATGATATTACTAGAAAATTTGAATTGCTTTGATATATACCATAGATTGGCGTGTGCAGCAGCAGTTATCTGTCATTTCTGTCAGATGATTCATCTTGTAAACAGATCCTGTACACTTACAGTGTAGACAAATACGGTACAGTATTGTACATACATTTCCTCTTAAAATTTCAGTAATATTTCCTTTTGCTTACTCTATTAAGGTAAGAGTACATTAAACTATATATATATAGAATATGTGTTAATCAACTGTTTATGTTATTGGTAAGGCTTCTGGTCAATAGTAGGCTATTGACTAGTAGGTAGGATTTTGGGATTCAAAAGTTACTCGTGGGTTTTCACTGCACAGGGGATCAACACACCTAATCCCTGCATTGTTCAAGAATCAACTGTTTTTGCCTTAGTAAATTTATAGTTTATGAGGCATACATGTTTCCACTTCTTATCACTATAGTATGAAATGCTGTTGGGTCAACTTGAATCCTAAATATGTCTAT